GTAAACAATTCAAGTAAATCAGTTGAAATGACAAAAGAATATTAGCAGGCACATGCGAAGATAAGAGAATATAATATATGTACTTTGTTTTAAGCAAGCAAATTACGAGATACCAGCATTCATAGAAAAAAATTGATTATAAACAAAAACTAAAAGATTATTCGATCATAGAATAGATAGTTATAATTCAAAATTTGTTTAAAACATTTTTTTAGAAATACTTAGAATCACCTGAACCTGACTTCTTTAAACAGAATGCATTAAAAGTATAAGTACTACGTATAACAAATTTTTTTTTTGCTAAAGCTGTTTTTTGAAACCTATTTCTGATATAAACTTGTTCAACGATAGAATCACACATTCCTGTAATCATTTTATAGAGCGATCTGAAGCACAATTCACTAAATATTGAATAGTCACCACAACATAGCGATTCCATAAGCCTTAGTCAGTTCCATGAAGTGGAACTGTTCATTGCTAGACTTGAATTCTTAACAAAAACATAAATTCTAAAATACTTGAACTCTACAAAGTAAAGACTACAACATACTCAAACTATACTCCGCAGTGTACTTAGTCGTCTGCCCTAAAGATCTAGGTTTCACGAAAAGGTAAAAACATAATGTATTATATAGACTCTGTGTGGCGGTAATACTCTTTTGCAGTGTACTTAGTACTCCACTATAAAGTGCTCAGTGCTCCGCAAAAAATAGGATGATAATGCGATAATACTCTATTCTGTATATCATTGCAGTGTACTTAGTGCCTCGCTTTAAAATACCCAGTATTATTGAAAACATTGGATTATTGTGTATTCAACAGAGTATATAGCCGAAAGAACAAATTAAGAGCCCCACATTGAGTTCTATTTTAAAAGGTATTCCATAAGTGACAAATATAGGAACCTTAACATAAACTAAAAATATCGCATCGATATTTAAGTTGGTTTTTTATGCATATATGCATGCATATATGCATATATCCATGCGTCAAGATTTCGATTTCTTGGACACACCAGCATGACGTTTATATAGCTACAGCTTTGTTCTCGAGTTGTCAGCCTTTTTCATGAAAACTACTTTTTTTTAAGTTCAAGTAAACTTGTTATCCACCTGTGCAATCAATGTAAAAGTAACATATAATATTTGGCAGTAGATGGCGTGTGCAGTTGTTGTTAGTATTATTAATGTTAAAAATTTACACCTTCAAATCTCGATATCTTAACATTTGAGTATAATAATCTCGACAAACGCGTTGCAAAATCGGTGTACCAGTAGAAATTGGAAGTGTGCCATGTACATATGTATTGTACTCTATACTTGCGTACTCTATTCAATTTTATTCATTTTTTAGATTAGGGAGTCATCTCCTGTATTTATACCAATTGGTTTAAAACCACCCTGCATATGTTTCACTAGATATAAGTAAATGTGGTCTCAGTTAAAATATATATAAGTTTTTTTAAATATGAAATTTTCTTTTTTTAGAGAATTAGCAGAAAGTAAAGATAATAAAAGATATATATATCATTCGAGACCTCAGTTGTACACACACCAATAAGCAAATGTCTGTTTTTCTCTTATTATGTATGTAACATATATAAGACAATAAATAAGTAAAACTTGTAAGATATGAATTTTATATACGATTAATTATTGCATCATCAATGTACAGATAAACTATCTGTTTCATTCAAACCAACTGAAATTTAGCGAGCAGTTAAAGAAAGAGATAGTTGTGGTGGAATAAGATAAACTCTTGAATTAGAAAACAACATATGGATATGCATATATACAAATTTATGCATTAACATATTTATACCTAAAAGTGAGATATAAATGTTATTAAGCTTATATAAAAATTATTTGGTATTTGAAAATGTATGTTTTTTATTGCCTTATGATAAAGAGTTTATTTAAATAGAAATCGGGGAAGTACAACTCCAGTATAACGTTATTTAAAACGATGGTCTACTTTACAAATTTGAGAAGGATTAAGTTCAATCCTTCATACTCTGCAATCTTAAAAAATTATGTACAAACGATTCAAACCCAAAATAGATTATCAAACGAAACTGATCAGCTAAAAATTCATTTACTAAAAAATTAAAATAATTTTAGTTTATTAAAAATAAAGGTTATATAAGAACGAAGGTTATAACTAAATACCTTTCAGCAATATCTACAGCAATCTAGAAAGGATTGAGATGATTTTCCGCATTATTCTAACCTTATAGTTGAGGATTTTCCGCGTTATTTTAATATTATAGATGAGGATTTTCTGCGAAGATTTTTATCTCATTATAGATGAGATAAGAATTCATAATCTTAAATCTAAACAAGAGACTAAAGAGTGGTGTGAATTCAGTTCCAAACTGTATTCTTTTCCAGAAGTTGTCTAAAAAGATGTCAATGTTAATCTTTTGGGATTTAAACTGAGTTTCGTTGATAGATTATTCCCAAACTAGTACAACAATGGAATCATAATCTGAGAGTATTGTAATCACTTGAATCGATTCTTCTTTAAGGTAAAGCTTTTGCTTTCACAGTTAAAAAAATTATTGAAAAACTATCGAATTGTTGCAATATCGAAACTATATTTATCTAAATCTGATTTTGGACTTTGCTAACAGATTAAAAATGTTTTGGTGGAAACTGATTTTCATTAAACAAGACGTTAGAGTTGTAGTAGAGTAGTGTTTGGATAACTACTACAGAATTGAAATCCATAAACTAAGAGACTGTTGGGATAAGTGTGTTGAAAACGGATGCGATTATAATTAAAAATAAAGTGATTTTTATAATTGAAAATTAATTTGTTTTTCACGATTCCTTAACTATGTGACAAATAGCTATATAACCTCAATATACCCTTACTAAATCACAAGTGTGTGTAAAGGTTTTAACAAAATAATAAGTAAAAATTCAAGCTGTAGGAGAATTTAATTTATTTCTAATATTTACTGTGAAACCGGATGAACTCCTAAAAGGATAATAACACACAGAAATATACATTTTATATGGATATGATTTGAATTTATAATTTAAATTTAACATTTATATACTACAGATAACATATATGAGTATGTAACGTGTGACACACCATTTCAATATTTTGTGTATTTTCCATAATTCATGAATATTTATGTTTTTAATATTTTAAAATGAATTCCAAATCTTTCTGAAATATTTGTCATAGTTGAAATATCAATTTTGTTATTAATTTTGAATTTATACATTCTATGTTCTATGGCATCGTTAAAGATACATTTCACTCAAAATCTTTATTTTTTTGTACATTTTATTTGAATAAAACGTTATGAATCCAACAGGAATATCTCAAAATTTTTGTCTTCACTTTATTCGTTAATAGTAAATATCTATGGTGTATATATATTGGTAAATAAATAATAAATTTTTTGTTGAAAGAATATCTTTAAATCTACGCAAAAGTATAATCTGAAGTTTCTGGGAGCATTTTGTTTTGCAAGTGTATGAAGTCAGCATTTTATTTGAGAGATATAGTATTAGCTTCACATAAATATATTTATATAAATGCATATGTATTATTGAGAAAACGATTTGATTTTGATTAACCATGATTTGCAGTAGTTGTTATTAAATAGTTTGCATATATATGTAGTATATAGTGAGGGTGTATAAGTCGTATAAGCAAACAACTATTTGTATTTGTTTGAAGATACGGTCACTTATTGCTTATATGTGGCAATTGCTACATTTTGCAAGTATGGACAAATTAGTGCATAACTTCAATACACTGTTAAAAATCACTACCTTTTAATTAGTATGTAGTATTAGTAGTCAAAAATATCTGTCAAATAACTTAACATTTCGAAGGTCTATAACTATAAGAATCTAAGATGTAAAAAAGCAGTTACAGATGTAGATAATATGTTAGAAAAAGGAAGAAATACAACACCAGATTGATGTATAAGCTATGATTATAAAGTGACTGTGGTTCGTTTAATAACTGAATATCGAAAGCGATCGCTGTAGTGAAGGTTCTGATATTATTATCAACTATTAACACTGCTAACACTGTATAACTTAATTGGTTATACACTGCTATGATATGATGATTCTATTCTCATATGCTAAGACATATACGTCGTATTGAATTACAAGGGTATTATTCAATAAGAACTACTCAATCATAGTAAAATTATTACAACAGAGCTGTTGTAATTGATAATTGAAAGAGGACTGAACAATTCTGTCAGATACAAATTATGACACTCCATCATAACAACCCCGTACTGATTGAAAACTGGTTTTATATCTGCTGATAGTTTTACCTAACTCGTCTGTTAGTTCAGACCCCACTCCATCGGACTACCAATAATTTCGGTCAATGGAGAATACTCTCTCGAAAATGCGATGCATTTCAATAGAAGGTATCAAAAATTGGTCCGATTCAGTTTTAAAAGCTGTTCTCTTGTTTTCTTATTATTTTTTTAAGAAAATATTATAGTTGTTAATGAACACTACATTAAATAACGTGTTTTTATTTTAATCATTAATCATATTAGAAAAAATATAACACCCACCATATATGATTTTTTTTAAACTTATTGTAAGACCTAATTTTTGTTGTTGGTACACAACTCAGAAATACAGAAGGATGCGATGGAAGTATTTAAGAGTTCAAGCTAAGGCTTGATTATTTTGAACTTCTCAAATATAAATCTAAAAAGATAACATATTTTGCTAAGTGATTGTTGGATTTGAGGATACTTACAAAGCAAACTTTATCTATAAGGATTTAGTGTCCAATTATTTTTCTAGTGTATGAAATTAATTTTTTTGCGTAATTTATACATGCAGATAGTTTAGTCATCCTTCCTACTCGCAAAGATATATATAATATAATGCAGTTCACTTCTTTATATATCTCTCTCTCTCATTTGCCATCTCGTTCTTTCTAAGACTATCTATTCTCCGTGCAATGTGTTAAGGCAACAATTTATGAGCACTTAATCAATCGAATTCTGTATCTTAAACTGATCGGTTATATTATGTGAGTTATTGAAGTATTTTTTCTAAAAGCCACGTATATACTTGGTTTTTAGACAAAAGAGAGAATAACTAAGTGATAAATAAAAATACAAATAAATTTATATTAAAAAATATTATAACAATTATTGTAGATTAAAATTTTAACAATTTAATACCTAATAAAAACTAAATTAATTTTGCACTATTAAATTATTTTAACTTTCCAGAAAATGGAATCACCAATTGATATTGGCGAGAGAGCAAACGATGCAGCTAATGTGAGTATCAAAAAAAAAATTATAGGTAGGGCGTTAACTTTCATTACTCATTAGTTTTATTTTAATAGTTTGTTTCCATTATGCTCCGTACTACTGATGACGGTATCGATGGTATCTTCGTAACCCCATTTGGGACCCTTGTCTGTGTAGATCAAGCAACAAATCAACAAATAATTGAAATACAAGGATGGCTTTATGACTTTAAAATCTTTTTGGAGCAAGAGTATGTTTGGCCAGCTGATACGGACATTTCTAGCTACGGTAGCTATTGTGAGGTCACCTTCACGGCTTTACGTGCCTTTATCGATTATCACATTGGAAAGGCTACAGGAGGCATAGACTAAATAAAAATTGCCTCTCCAGATATGCAGCAAATCAATCTATTATTAATTTCATTATATTTGTAATGCAATCTGAAATTTAACGAATAAAAATATTCGAAATATAAAAGACAATCATTTTTTAACACAAAGTGGTAGATTTCAATTACGTAGTGGTTATTACAGTGCAAAATAAAAAGGTGGTGGTGAAGTGTAACAGATTTTCATCACCAATCTGTTTTAATTTAGAATTCTCATTGAGTTTAATTTTTTTTTGTGATAAAAAAAAATAACGTAATATAGAAGTTATACAAAAATACGTTTATATATGTTTATTCCTTCGTTAAGAAAGATTTAATATAATAAAAAATATATGACAAAAAAAATTCACTCTATTGTAAGAACGTTTGCATTTTATTAATTTTATGAGCGCAGATTTATGTTAGGTTAGGTTGTACCGGTGATCCCAGGGATCCCAGGGCAATCCACTTAGGCCTATAGGCCCATTGTGATACTAGATTTATGTTACTATCAAAAAAATGGTCGACAAGTATTGGACTAAAATGAAAAATATATTATAGTCGTCTTTCATTTACTGTAAGAAAAAAATCCAAATTTAATTTCCGAACAAGATTATATAATTAATATTTTAACAAAAATATTAAGGTATATAATACTAATTTATTTTCACATAATGATTTAAAAAGCAATAATAAAAAAAACAATAGTATTAGTCTAGTTAGTGCCACGGCTGTCACATGCGGTACTTAAGTACCAAAATTAGTACATAATATCTGTATACCTATGTATAATTGAAACTAATACGATTTTATGTATTGATTTGGTTAAAATATTGCGGCTACAAAAGGTAAAGGATTTAGATCGGAATGAAATTTAAGATCTTAAATAATATTATGTTATGCAAGAAAATATTTGATAAAATATATATGTTATGCATTATGTATGATCAGCAAAATATAGAACGACTATCAAAATAATAAAAATTCTCATGAATAAAAAGACTTGTAGTCTCTATATCTTCTGTACATTTCATATATATTGTATTTTCTTTTTAAAAGATAATAGATAGAAATTGGACCTTTTTTTACAGAAAAGGTATACTTTTGAATCTATTTTGGTACAGAATAAAATTTTGAAGTGGCAACCGTGATTAGGGCCATGTTATGTAGTGTAGTTTCGAGCACAGCATGAGTAAAATTGTTGTTGCTTTCAATGCAAATTATAAAATTGAGAGAGAGAGAAAAAACTATATGTGGATTCCAATTTCGACATGAGGGCAGGGCTATTTGTGCCTCGGCACTTGGGCAAAGCAGTGTTGGTTAGTAAAAAATTTCAAAATTTTGCCTTAATGCCGGGGCACAAATACGCCGACTCTCATGCCGGCGTTTGAACGGCCATATTGTTTTTTCTCTCATTCTCAAATTTAAAACTTGCATTGAAAACAACAACGATTGTACTCATGCCGTGCCCGAGACACTCTGCATAACATGTCTGTTAGTTTAGTTGTCTCAGAGATTAACTAATATGAATTTAGAGATATTAGGATTACTTATAGCACAAAAATGCTTTTATTTTTTTATTTATATAAGTAATAAATTGTATAATTTAATTACAATTTCTATTCCCTATTTGGTCTTATTTTTTTACCTATTGTTTACTTTAATGCAATCAAGTAATGAAGTTTACTTAAAACTGCCAACAGCACTGTGGAAGAGGTTATACTTATCATACACAGGGGAATGGTTAACGAATTGTTTACAATAAAATATTTGTCTCGGACAAATAAATAAATATATTTATTACAAAATAAACAAAAAGTACAAAGAAGAAAATTTACCTATGAATATCCGTAAGTAAAAGTACCTAAAAACTTGTAGTAAACACGCTCAATTATGGTAAATAAAATTTTCATATAAGAATTTTTTATTTTTGTTTTATTTAATTTTAATTTTATTTAGAAGTTTACCCAAGTAAGATATTTATTATAAAAGCTAAGCAAGCAAACTAACAAACAGATGAACCTGCCTGGAATATAAAAACATTATGTGTGTATTTGTACATGTGTGATAAGACAAGCAATCATATAATAAACAAAATAAAAGGAATTTAATATATTTGTGTATATCAATGGATGAATCAATGGATCTACATAAGTACTACAAAATGGAAAAAAAAATATTTTTTCTAGTCACGTCCATTTTCAATCAAGTGGCATCATCAACCACATCGTTAGTCTTGGCACACACAGCATTGAACTGATAATAAGAAGAAGGCACATGTCTATTTCATATGCTCTACTGCTTACCTTTACCGATACGAGTATCATGTACTGGTACTGGTACTGGTAATACGTGTGGTGTGAGAAGAGTTCATGGCTTAGCCAAAGGAAATCGAAATCGAAAAACTATTGGAACCGCAAAAAGTTTTTGAATGTTTGATTTCAAAAAATATGTGCGTCTGCATTTGTAGATTTCTGAAAATATATTTCATTGTCATTTACCATGATTTACTATAGAATTTCATTTATTTTTATAAATAAACTTTTTAGTTTTGTTTTTATAAAAAAAAATGTTAGTCATTGAATAAAGGATATAAGAGTAGAAGCATCTAAAAACATGAACTTTACCGAACTTTATGAAAGGATGTTGAAAAACTAACACTCTATGCATATTGTAAAATGTCCCTTATGTGAAAAATTAATTTGGATTCAATGATTGTTAGAGAAAATTTTATTTAATTTAAATTATAAACTTATTTATATGAAATATATTTTATATATAAATATTTTATTATTTTCACAAGTTTTTTTATATTAATTTAAAAAACTTTCAAATACTCGTAGTCTTGATAATTTTGATCTAAAGAACATTTAGTTTTAGCGAAATATTTTTATGCGATCTTAACATGGACATAATAAAAGATGGAATTATGGTGCGGTCGTGCTCTAAAAACTGCTTACAGAGAAAAATTTAATATAAAAGTAGGGTCCATAAGCCCAACGCAGTATACTTGACGAACGAAAGGAGTTAGCCTTGGGTTATGTATGTTTAGAAAGGTTTGTACAGCAAGAACAAATGAATTTAAATGTGAGGATCTTTTTTTTTAGTGAAATAGTGTTTGCAAGCAATTGATAGAATAATGTATATGATATGATATATGATATATCATGATATGACATACCTTGGTATGATATTCGTTTTTGTTTTCTTTGCCACAACACCTCTGTCATTGTTACATTATATATCAAATATTATGTGTTATAAGTATTAATACAGATGCTTGTTTGATAATTAATGTACAATTTTCTTTGTAGTTACATATATGGTTTTTGATATATATATATACTTTTTATAAACTATTATCTTCCATTTTGGAATTTGTAGATAGATTAGTTCGATAAAATTCTAAATAAAAATGTTTAAAAGTTTAACTTAAATAAATTATGCTCTAATTGAATTTTATTAAAAGAGATAGCAATTATGATGGCAATAATGATGAGAGTGATATTGGTAATGAATGATCGTGATCAAGAAGTTGCTGATGATAATAATGATTCTGATGATACTGCCGATGATGATGCTAATGATGATGATGATAACGATAATGATGACGAGAATGATAATGATGATGATGGTGATTCTGATAATATATATTTCTAGGTAAAGTATATCGGCTCAGTTCTCAATTAAAGTCTGAGAGCTGGCAACATTGTTGTTGCAGAATATTCTTTACTTCATAACTGAAGTTATTGCTAGTGTTCTGGATTCCAAAAATCTTGTAGCTTGTCAAGACAATGTCCACCAAGCAACATTATAGATAAATTTGCATTTCAGTCTCTCTATTGTAACTTTAATTATAACTGTGAAGGTTAGTTTGTGGGGCCACCAGATAGATGTGCAAGATTTGGCGTATACACCACTTTATGCAAGTTTATATACTTATGTATTATTCAGGGATACTCTTATATATATTGCAGAATATATGACTCGCATTCTTTATTCAAAAAAAAACCTCTAGTTTTATTGATTTTAGAAATTACATATTTCTTCATTCTGTTTCTATCTGTTATTTTACTTTCAAGATTTATTATTGATTGTACAAATATTACTTTCTTCATTAAGAATTTTATATTCTTTGTAGAACAATTCCAACAAACCAAATTTCTTATCTGTAAACGTTTTTAATAATTAAATAGGTTGCGGAAGCGAAGTTACCATTTGCACCAACTGTTTTTTCGATTGAAATGACTGAGCCTCAGTTCCCGCAACGAGGTTAGAAAAAAAAAACATTTAACCAATATTTTTGTTTGCGATAATGGAAATAATTTTTTGAATGGAGTTATCTAATGGCACGAAAGAAAGTGATTCAAACCCCTATCTGCAACTCATGATCTCACTTGTTACCGGTTGGAGCTCAGAGCCCTGGTATTTCTATTCTTTACAAAAATGTAAATTTTTTGTTTAGTCACATATATTATATAGAAAAAGTAAAGCCTGAGTAATTAAATCTTTAACAATAAATTAAAAAAAAATAATTTACTAAATATGCTGATTTGTGCGAATTTTATTATTAATTTCAAGTTAAAGAAGACAAAGATTTATTGAACAAAAAAATTTAATTTATATACTAAACATTACCTGTCAATAAAATTAAAACTGGTTTCGATTTATTAAAATAAATACTTTTCAAAAACATGTGAAGGAAGATTCATTGTTATTTTTTGTAAAAGTTTTTAATTTTTAATTACATTTTTTATAATTTAAAAATGTTACTTTTTACTGCTTTTTAATAAAAAATTGTTAATAAAAAACGATTTATGAGAAATTCGAATTTATTTGAAATAAATTGATTCATTGTTTAGCATCTTTTTTATTAGACTTGGATAATATCGATGGGTTTTTTGGATTGAAATTGTTTTAATTTTTTTTTCGCCAATCAGGAGACGACTTAATTGGTTTGTTGAATTTAATTTTATCTAATAAATTTTCATTAATTTTTTTCTAAATTTATTTATTATTTAAAATTTTTGTATATTTTATACATTCTTCATATTTTCTTATAAATTTTTTTCTTTAAACAAAATTTTTTTATT